GTGCTGATGGATATACTGTTTATTTTAGTAATATGATTACTGTTAAAACGGAATATTAAATTCATCGCATGCGGGGAACTGGAGAACGGTCTCTATGTTCTACATCCTTCTCTGGAAACTAACTTTACCGAAACTACATCGGTCAAAAATCCCAAGAAGAGAACTCGTGATACAATAAGTCCCACGTGCCTCTGGCATTACCGACTTGGCCATATCGGTGTTGACCGAGTCACAAGGCTGGTAAAGGATGGTCCTTTGGATTTTCTAACCATAGAAAATCTTCCCACTTGTGAGCTTTGCCTCCAAGGTAAGATGACTAAGCGGCCATTTGACGGTAAGCCTGAAAGATGTGTCAGCACACTTGACCAAATACATACTGATGTATGTGGCCTACTAAGTGTTAGGACTCGTAACCAACATGTATATCTCATTACATTTACCGAGGATTATTCTCGGTATGGTTAAGTGTACCTAATGAGACACAAGTTTGAATCCTTTGAAAAGATCAAAGAGTTCAGAAAGGAAGTCGAGAAATAGTTAGGGAGAGAAATTAAGGCCCTTCGATCGGATCAAGGTGGTGAGTATCTCTCTGACGAATTCAGGGACTACTTGAAGGTCAACGGGATAGTGTCACAATTAGCTCCTCCTGCTACACCTCAACTTAATGGTGATTCAGAGAGGAGGAATAGGACCGTGTTGGACATGGTCCGGTCACTTATCGTACGCTCAGAATTACCCACATCCTTTTGGAGATATGAATTAGAGATTGCTATCTATGTGCTGAATCGGGTTCCAACAAAATCGGTTCCGTAAACTCCATATGAACTCTGGACCGGAAGGAAGCCAAGTGTAAGACACTTGAAAATTTGGGGTTGTCCTACGCACGTTAAAAGAACGAGTGCGGACAAGTTGGAATCCAAGACCAGCCGTCGCCTATTTATAGGCTACCCAAAAGATTCGGTGGGTTATCTATTCTATGACCCAAGTGAGTAGAAAGTGTTCTGTAGTTGAAACGCCAAATTCTTAGAGATCGAATACATCCTGGACACCCATCATTAGGAAATAGTTCTTGATGAGGAGAGCTCAGGAGTAGTGGGAGATGTCCCACAAGTTCTAGGTAGTGACCAACCTAGAAGATCAACTCGGGTATCCAGGCCACTACTCCGATATGGTTATCACCAAGATAGTTACCTAGTGGAAGCCTTGACTAGTGAGGAGGATCCCGTTACTTACGCAGAAGCTATGTTAGACATAGATTCCCAGAAGTAGGTGGAGCCATGAGAGCTGAGATGGACTCAATGGAGGCCAATGGAGTCTAGACTCTAGTAGATCCGCCCTCTGTGGTAAAAGCAATTGGTTGCAAATGGATCTACAAGAGGAAGAAGGGCCCCGATGGCAAGATTGAGACCTACAAAGCTTGTTTGGTGGCGAAAGGGTATACTCAGAAAGAAGGCATCGATTATAAGGAAACCATTTCGCCCGTGGTCATGCTTAAATCCATTAGGATCCTGCTAGCTGTAGCAGCATACCATGATTATGAGACTTGGCAGATGGATGTCAAAACCGCATTCCTGAATGGAGATCTTAGTGAAGATATCTACATGCAGCAGCCGCAAGACGTTTGACTTTGAGCAGGAACACATGGTATGTAAACTTAATTGATCCATATATGGACTTAAGTAGGCTTCTAGGAGTTGGAACTTCTGTTTTGATTCTGCCGTCAAAACGTTTGACCTTGAGCAGAATCCGAATGAGCCCTGTGTTTACAGGATGTCCAGTGGGGAAATGATCACCTTTTTGGTGTTGTAAGTGGATGATATCCTACTCATTGGGAATGATGTAGGAATGATGATTTCGGTCAAAGTATAGCTTTCACAGCAGTTCACCATGAAAGATCTTGGAGAAGCTTCCTATATACTGGGTCTTCGACTATATAGAGATAGATCGAAGTGGATAATTGGATTATCCCAGGCTACTTACATTGACAAGATTGTCAAAAGATACAGGATGGATAACTCCAAGAAAGGAAACGTTCCTTTCAGGCACGGAGTCACTCTCTCCAAGAAGATGTCTCCCAAGACTTCAGAGGAGATTGAGGGCATGAGAGACGTTCCCTATGCCTCAGCCATAGTGAGCATCATGAATGCCATGCTGTGCACTCGCCTGGACATTGCTCAGGCGGTGAGTGTGGTAAGCAGATTTCAGGCCAACCCAGGGTAGGAACATTGAACTATTGTGAAGAACATACTCAAATTCCTTCGAAGGACAAAAGAGTTTTGTCTAGTATTCGATGGTAGTTCACTACAAGTTCTAGGGTATACTGATGCTGATTTCCAATCAGATCCAGATGATAGAAAGTCTACATCTGGGTATGTTTTCACGATAGGAACGTGTGCTATTTGCTGGAAAAGCAGCAAACAGGGGTCCACTGCAGATTCCACAACCAAGGCCAAGTACATTGCCGCAAGTGAAGCTGCCAAGGAAACCGTGTGGATGAAGAAATTCATTCACGAATTAGGAGTGATTCCGTCCAGCACATCACCCATCCCGTTGTTGTGTGACAACAATGGAGCAATCGCCCAGGATAAAGAGCCTCGGGCCCACTCGAAGTCAAAGCACATCGAGGGGAAGTACCACGTACTATGAGAGATCATTGGTAGAGGGGACGTCCTGATTCAGAAGGTAGCAACAGCGGATAATGTGGTAGACCCATTGACTAAGCCACTGACACAGAAGGTGTTTGAGAAACACGTGGAAAGTATGGGACTCCAGTTTGTACCAAATTGGACCTAAGTGCAAGTGGGAGCTGTTGGACAGTTTTGTATGCCCTTAGCTTCAATCCGTTTGATGTACTTTTGACATTTAGTGTAAATAAAAAAAGTGCATGTTTGATTTAGGTTGTTTGGTATGATTCTATGTAAGACCCTAAAACTGGACACTTATTGAAACTCGTGTTAGTTTTAAATGTTCACAGCCATTGGATATGTCTAGGGAGATTTATCCTACCAAGGTTGATACTGGTGTGCCGCCAAGTGTTGGGATGGCCTGTCTCAGCCACCAGGGTAAGACCCAAGGCACATGCAGTAATGGATTACTCAAATCCTTGAACCGGACAAGATTTTCAGTATTGCCCTAGACCTTTGAGACAAATGGGCAAAATTGGAAAGTTACACCTGACCCCTAGACTCGATTATGAYACTTCACTAGGTGTCAGATCAGGCTGTGTTTGATATGCCAACCAGTGAGATCCTTAGCGGGGGTCAAAACCTGAGCATGTTGGGGCAGTCGTCTGAGATTTAATCTGAGTGGGTGATCATAGTGATAGGATCAGCCCCTTTGTCGGACAATGGTAATGATCGAGAATGCACTCTCTCTGATGGAAACCAAACTGCCGGTAGTTGATTTCAATCGTTGGAATTTTGTTTTGCAAAATTTATATATGATATATGTATATATATATGTATGGTTTCAAAACGTTTGCAAATGGTTTTAATTTCCAGGATTCATGTGAGTAGAGAGTGCAGCACTATTCTTTGCAGCCGAGGGAGAGGTCTTCTCTTGTCAGGCAGTGCTTGATCATTATGGGCTGAGAGGTTAAATGTAAGGCCATTTACGATAATACCTGATGGGCTAATTTTGCACCTGCCCATAGTTCCTGCGCATTTATAAGATGGCTTGGCCCAGGGACCACTTAGTGTAAGTGTTGGGCCCATAGGGTCTATGTGATGGGCTCAGGGATTCACTGGGTCTTCTAGTGAATTCAGCGAGGCCTTGTAATAAAGACTAGGCCGAACCCATGTGGCTGGTGTGTAGATCAATGCTTGGGTCCCACGCCATACAAAGAAGCCCAACTGGGCAGCAGATTGGAAACTAATTGAACACTGAATACTTAATGGGCCAAAAGCCCATTTCGAACTGGGCTAATATGATCACCCACTTATGGGGTGGATCTGAGATTAAGGTTAGCAAAAGGATTGGGCCTTTAACCTAATCCACTCTGGGAGACCAAATTCAAATCAGATTTGAATTAGGTAACCTCATGATAAGATAGGATTAAGATAGGATCTTAATCAAGAAGAAACCCTAAGAGAGATACAACAACAGAATTCGAACCTAGGGTTTTGTGCAAGAAATCATCCTGCGAATTGAGATAGGATCTCATACACTCTAAATAAAAGAGAAGCAAAATCTGCCATATTCATCTCAGGAGTTCTCCTCCAACCGCCGCCATTCTCTGAAAAGATTCGTTATTTGAAGAAAAGAAATCAAGAAATCAGTTCTTGATATCAGTTTTGCAAAAAGAACTGAAAAGATTTGGTGCTCAGTGTTTCCAGAGGATTCTTGTGAAGGATTCAGTGCATAGGATGCACTCTGCTGGTTCCATTCCACACATTGTTGTGTCATCTTCAGCTGGAGCGGATCATGGTGTCCTCTTTGGGCGTGGACACCAACTTTGGGAGATACTGCTTCTCTGGATCAAGTATAATTCCTCCATTGCCTTTTGGTTTAGATCTGGTTCGATTATGGTTCAAGTTGGATCCTTGAATATTGTATTCTAAATTTAGGGAATATGATTCGCAGTTGGAAGAAGGTAGGAAAATTTTTTAAATTCGCCCACCCATTCCGCAACTTTTTTGGCATTCATACGATGGATCCTACCATTCTTTCACAAATTGGTTTCTATGACACAGGATTCGAAATTGCCTTCTTGGATTCCAGGTATTGAGGACAGTTCCTCTTCCAGCGGCCGGCCTGATAGTAGAAATTACAGGCATCGGATGCCTTGTCTTTCCTCTGTTTCTTGGGTTTGGTGGCCTTCTTCCGGGGCTTTCTCTTTGCCCTCCTCTCCTTGCCGTTCTTGCTAGCTTCAACAAACATTGCTAGGGGCTCATCCTTCTTAATCAGTTCCTCGGCCCTCTGCAACATATTGCTGATTTCCTGAAAACTGACATTTAGCTTATTCATATTATAGTTCATAATGAACGGATTGAAGGATTCACCAATTGTCATATCAATGGCATCAATCACATAACATGAATCATCACTAGAGGGTGCATGTTTCATAGCATCAAAAATTTTAAAAATTATCTCCTCATCTTGTATCCTAAGGCTGAGTTGTCCTTGTTGGACATCAATCGTCGCTAGGATAAGTTGGACCTCAACATCTTCTTGCATGTCTAACACAATGAAATCAACTAGAAAAATGAATTTGTCAACTTTAACTAACACATCTTCTATGATCCCCCTAGGATGTCTAATGGATCTATCAACCAATTGGAATGCCACTCTAGTGGGTTGGGGTTCCCCCAATCCCAATTTCTTGAAGATAGAAAATGGCATTAAATTGATGTTAGCTCCTAGGTCACATAAAGCTTTTTCAATTTTTAAACTGCCTATGGTACAACGAATAGTGAAACTCCCTAGATCTTTGAGTTTCTGAGGCAGCCTGTTTAGAAGGATAGCAGAACATTCCTCATTCAAAGCAATTGTAGCCACATCTCCCAGTTTCTTTTTGTTTGCCAATAATTCCTTCAAAAACCTTGCATAGTGTGGCATCTGGGCTAAAGCATCAGCAAAAGGAATGATAATATGTAAACTTTTAAATATTTCAAGAAACTTAGCAAATTCCTTCTCCATTTTCTGTTGCTTCAGCCTATTAGGGAATGGAACTTGTGGCTGCTGGTGCATCCTTTCTTGTGCTTTTGGTTGTTCCTTCTTCTGCTGTCCGGTCCCAAGGCTTGTTTCTACCTTGTGTTCAGCCTTATTCTTCTTTTCTACCTCGGGCAACTATTTTCCACTCCTTAAGGTAATAGCTTGTACTTGCTCTCATGGATTCACTTCAGTGTTGCTTGGAAGAGTTCTCGACAATCTGGAAGAGATTAGTTGTGCCAATTGCCCCACTTGGTTTTCCAAGTTCTTGATTGAGGCTTCTTGGTTCTGGAACCTGGTTTCCGTACTTGCTATAAATTTTGTCACCAGCTCCTCCAAATTGGACTTTGGTTTGGGATGATGATAAGTCTGGTGGAAAGGCTTAGAAGTATGCTGACTTGGCCAGGACTAGTTTGGATGTCCCCTCCATCCTGGGTGAAAGGTATGGTGACTCTGGCAACCTTGCTGTCTTGACAAATTGCTGACATAGTCGACTTGTTCAGTAGATGGCGTGAATTGATTGCCAACTTTGTAGTCAGTACTGATGTGGCCTCCCCCACACAATTCACAAGTAAGAGGCTGCACATGCATGGCAGCTATCTGCATTTCATCAATTTTCTTACTGAGTGCTCCTATTTGTGCAGATAGTGTCATATAAGTATCAACATTATGCAGGCCATGTTGTTTCCTAGTTTGGGTTCTTTCAGAATGCCATTGATAGTTGTTTGCTGCTATTTCTTCAATGAGTGCATGGGCAACCTTAGGAATCTTATTGTTTATGGACCCTCCGGCTGCAGCATCTAGTATGTTCTTATTTGAGTCGGTAAGACCATTATAGAAGGTTTGCACTTGCAGCCATATGTGTAGGCCATGGTGAGGAACTTCTCATCTGGAAGCTGCGATTTCATCATGAAGTGTCTATAAGTTTTTATTTCTGGTTGAAGGGTTAGGGAAGCCTTGATTCTGTAACATTGTGAGATCTAATTGATTTTTATTTCAGTTCATTGTTTATGGGTATTCATATGTTTTCTGCGAATTAACTGTGAGGATTATTTTCG